TCTGATGTTACATTACAAAATAAAAGCCCTCCAAAAACTCATTCTACATGTTCTGCCTGTGATTTTGAATAGCTCTAATAAGAAAACTCCCTGTTTCCACAGACCAGTTTCAATTCAGATTGACAGTTCACTACCCCAGGGTGTCACTCAGCCAGTTTCAGGACGATCTGAAGTTGCATTACATACAAAAAGCCCTCCAAAATCTCATATTCTACCTGCTCTGCCTGTGATTTTGGATAGCTCCATAGACCCTTTTCAATTTAGATTGACAGTCCACCACCCCAGAGTGCCACTGGGCCAATGCCAGGACTGTCTGTTGCTGTATGACAAAATAAAAGCCCTAAAAAAAAACTTGCATATAACCTGTATTTTCCATATTTTCAGATAGCTCTAAAAAGAAAAGTCCCTGTTTCCATAAACTATTGTCACTTCAGATTGATAGCACACCACCCCAGAGTGTCACTTATGCTATGTCAGGACTATATGATTTACAATTCCAAAATGAAAGCCCTCCAAAAACTCAAATAAATTCTGTTTTGTCTGTCATTTCAGATTGGTATAAAAAAAGAAACTTCTGATTTCCACATTATAGTTTCCCCACAGATTGACCGTACACTCTCACAGTGTCACTTACACCATTTCAGGACTGTCTGATGTTGAATTACAAAATAAGAGCCCGCCTAAACTTGTATACACTGTTTTGTCTACACAGTCCTAAAGTAGTGTAAGTGATACTATGAGAAGGCGTATTATCAATCTGAAGTGAAAGTAGTCTGTGTAAACAACGAGATACTGTTCCCTATCGATACTTAACTCGTACTGCTTCTACTAAGGCGCTTTGGGGGGGAAACTCCTTTTTCTCCGATGACTGAAGCCTTTCAATAACACAGTGAGCAGACGCAGTACGAGTGAAGTATCGATAGGGAACGTACTTGGTTACTAACGTAACCTTGGTTCCCTGAGATACGGAACGAGTACTGCGTACTTTGCCATGCTATGTAGCTGCACGACTCAGTCGTCACTTCAGTCGAAGTAACCTGAGGATCCTACGGCGAAATGCCCGATTATATAGCCAGATGGCCCTGCCCATTCTGGCGTGGTTTGTCACCATAGGCTTGTGCAGCTCTGCTGCCGAGCCATTGGTTCATTTTTTTATTCAGTGCACGAACCAATGCCAAGGCAGTGCAGTTACACTGCATTATTGAAAGGCTTCAGTCATCAGAGAAAAAGGAGTTTTCCCCCCAAAGCGTCTTCGTAGACGCAGTACTCATTCTGTATCTCAGGGAACCAAGGTTACATTAGTAACCGAGTATGTTTTCTACTTATCTGAATCATTAGACAGTCCTGACATTGTGTGAGTGATACTCTGAGGTGATGCACTATCAGTCTGAAGTGAAAATGGTTTGTGGAAACAGCGTTTACATTTTACACCAATCTAAACTGTTATACAAAACATCTTATAAGTTTTAGAAGGACTTCAATTTGTAATTTTGCACCAGATAGTCCTGACATTGTGGGAGCGACAATGAGGAGGTGGTAACTGGTTATCTGAAGTCAAAGTGGTCTGTGGAAATGGGGAGTTTCCTTTTTAAACCAATCCAAATTGACAGACAAAGGAGCTTAAATATGAGCTTTTAGAGGGCTTTTATTTTGGAATTATACATCAGATAGTCCTGACATTGTGTGGGTGACTCTCTGAGCAGGTGTACTATCATTTTGAAGTGAAAGTGGCCTGTGGAAACCGGGAGTTAAATTTTTATACCTATCAGAATTGACAGACAAAATTGTTTTGGGCGGACTTTTATTTTGAAATTACACATCAGAGCCAGACATTTGTGGGCGTGACACTCTGGGGTGCTGTACTATTAATCTGATTTGAAATTGTTCTGTGGAAACAGGGAATTTCCTTTTTAGAGCTATCCAAAATCAAAGACAAAACTGGTGGTCATATATGAGATTGTGGATGGGCTTTTATTTTGTAATGCAACATCAGGTCGTCCTGAAACTGGCTGAGGGACACCCTGGGGTACTGGACTGTTAATCTGAATTTAAATTGTTCTGTGGAAACAGGGAGTTTCTTTTTTAGAGCTATTCAGTTTCACAGGTAGGATATGAAATTTTGGAGGGCTTTTATTATGTAATGCAACATCAGATCGTCCTGAAACTGGCTGAGTGACACCCTGGGGTAGTGGACTGTCAATCTGAATTGACACTGGTTTGTGGAAACAGGGAGTTTCCTTTTTAGAGCTATTCAAAATCACAGGCAAAACAGGCAGAATATGAGTTTTTAGAGGGCTTGTATTATGTAATGCAACATCAGAACGTCCTGAAACTGGCTAAGGGACACCCTGTGGTAGAGGACTGTCAATCTGAATTGACACTGGTTTGTGGAAACAGGGAGTTTCCTTTTTAGAGCTATCCAAAATCAAAGACAAAACTGGTGGTCATATATGAGATTGTGGATGGGCTTTTATTTTGTAATGCAACATCAGATCGTCCTGAAACTGGCTGAGGGACACCCTGGGGTACTGGACTATTAATCTGAATTCAAATTAGTCTGTGGAAACAGGGAGTTTCCTTTTTAGAGCCATTTAAACTCACAGGCAGAACAGGTAGAATATGAGTTTTTGGAGGGCTTTTGTTATGTAATGCAACATCAGATCGTCCTGAAACTGACTGAGTGACACCCTGGGGTAGTGGATTGTCAATCTGAATTGAAATTGTTCTGTGGAAACGGAGTTTCCTTTTTTAGAGCTATCTAAAATCAAAGACAAAACTGGTCATATATGAGTTTTTGGAGGGCTTTTATTTTGTAATGGGAAATCAGAGAGTCCTGACACTGGGGAAATGACATTCTGGACTGGTGTACTGTTAATCAAAAGTGAAACTTTTTTGTGAAACCTTTTTATAACTATGTGAATTTACAGATAAATATGGCTATATACAAGTTCATTAAAGGGTTTTATTTTGTTATTTCTCATCAGACAGTTTTTTGTTTTTTTTTTGAAAATTCTACATTTAATATTACTCAAAATTTTAAGTCATTGTCATTTTTATCAGACCGTTTTTTTTTAAACATTTGTATTATTTTAAACATTCATTCATTCATTCATTCATTCACAGAGAAACTGTCTCAATAAATGAATGCCAGAGATCACTTTTCCTTTGATCTGAGTTTTACACGCTATTACCGTAATGTCTAGTATATGCGCGCACCGAAATACAACGTGGCGGCTAGAATGACCGTGTTTTTCAAAGTGGAGGCTGGCTTGACCGCAGTCTTTAATGGATAGTTCACACACACACACACACACACACACACACACACACACACAAATGTTCTTCACTTACTCACCCACTGAAAAACTGAAATACTGACACTTTCTTTTGTCTAGTTTGTCTAATCACTCAATCCTTTGCTCTGTAGGACTAATAACAATTGCTCAGACTGTTGGGGTGACCTTGCTGCCTCCCCGGAAAAAGATAACTGTGATGTTGATGGGGAACCACTCCGCTGGAAAGAGCAGCTTTGTCAATTGGTAGGCTAATATACAGACATGAAAACATACACTACAACCATGCACTCAGATTGCTGTTTGTGTTAGACTGAAAAAGTGAGAACCATTAGAGTTCAAACAGTAAGCCATGCATTTATTGCTTTGCAGGTATGTGGAGGAGCATATTCAAAGAACAGGGGTCGCGATAGAGACACAGGGCTTCAGCTTTGTTACAAGTGGGCGAAAGAGGGAATCGCTCACAGTAAATATGACCCCATGCATATTGCATGAAAGTTGTGTGACATGGTTTGGGCATGAAATTGGCATTTATATAAACGTCTTGTATAACAACTGTCGCCTTGGTTTTAGGGAAATGCAACGCTCCATCTCTATCCCCATTTCAAACCACTGCAGGAGTTTAAAGGTTTGTAGATGAATCGCGCTAAAAAGAACTACAGGCTTATGGAAGCTGTGTCTAAATTGCAACTTTCTCTCAATTTCAGGGGTGTCAGAATACCTCGGCACTGAGATTTGTACTTCACGACAGAAACGTTTCAGCTTGGTGACCTTTGTTGACACTCCTGGTCTGGTGGATGGAGATATGAAGTACCCCTTTGACGTGGATCAAGCTATTCTGTGGCTCGGTGTGTATTTGTGTGTTCCAGAGTTAGTATTTTTGTAATGTTGTTTGTAAGTCTAAAGTAAGTATTATAAATGTCCATTTGTAGTCCTAATACGTGTCCCTGTATTCTGATTCTGCCTGTCTACACCAGGTGAGCTCTGTGATCTGATCCTGGTCTTCTTTGACCCAATGGGACAGGCTTTATGCAAGCGCACACTCAACATTGTAGAGAAACTGAATGAGAAGCAAGGAGACCGTCTCCGATTTTATCTCAGTAAAGCGGATGAGGCTGGAGGAGATTCTGATCGACAAGTAAGATGCTCTTATACATGCAAAATAAAATGTATAACTACTGTGATCATAAGCATATACACTACAGTTTAGAGAAGCATTTGTTTGATCAATAATACAGTAATAATAGTAATATTGTAAATTATTACAATTTGTAATACCCTTTTTATTTTAAAATGTTAAAATATTAAATATCAATGTATTAATAGTATATAAAATATTAGCAATATATATATATAAAAAAAAAAAATACAATGTATTCCTGTGATTTTAATTTGAGCTGAATTTGATGATTCATATTTTTGTGGAATAGATTTTAAATCTTTTGTAATATTGTCAATTCATTGTGTCCTTGCTTAAGTATTAATTTAAGCAATAAAAAAATATTAATTGTCAGTATTAAACTGACTCCAAGCATTAACAGTAGTGTATGTTGATGTTTCAAGGGACTGTAAAATACAAGATCTTTAAAGGCAAATGGTCTTTGTTTGACTGTTTAGTAACGATATGTCAAATTGCTTTGTTATTGGCTATTTCAGAGAGTTATGATGCAGATTGTGCAGGAGCTTTGCAAGCGTCCAGGACTCAACAAGTGTGGCTTTGACATGCCCACCATCTATGTTCCCAACCCTAATAAGGTGCTACCACAATCTTTCAGTTCCTCACTGTAACCGTGACAACTTTCGTGCTTAATAAGTAAAGATTACTGAAGATTTTTCCTTACTGTCTCCACCATCAGCCCAGTCGATGTGTCAATCAGATAGAGGAGGTGTGTCGGACTATAGAGAAGACCATTAACCAGACTGTGCAGAACACGCTTAACTCATTGGAGAAGGACTGCAACCTCATCACCGAGGCCATCACTGAGACACTTGATAATGATCGGTATTACATCCTTGTATTGTATTCATACATATTGTATAGGTAAACGCCAATGTTTATTAGTCTAATATTACAGTTGCCATTGTGTGTTAAACTCTCTATAGGCAGTGCAGTATAGAGAACCGTCGATCACGTTTCAAGGGCTGTTTGTTGGGCATGCTGGGTTTCACTATGCCCCTGCTGCTGCTCGTGACCCTGGTGCTTGGCAGCCTCTCCAAAGATATGCTGGTGCTCATGCTGGGTAATAGTGGCATAGAGGCACTCACACTATATGTGGTTAGTATGTATATGCATTCGTGTGTGTGTGTGTGTGGGATTCACTGTAGATACTGATGTAAGTGTGGGTTTGTGTGTTCAGGTTCCTGCAGTAAACTCTCTATAGGCAGTGCAGTATAGAGAACCGTCGATCACGTTTCAAGGGCTGTTTGTTGGGCATGCTGGGTTTCACTATGCCCCTGCTGCTGCTCGTGACCCTGGTGCTTGGCAGCCTCTCCAAAGATATGCTGGTGCTCATGCTGGGTAATAGTGGCATAGAGGCACTCACACTATATGTGGTTAGTATGTATATGCATTCGTGTGTGTGTGTGTGTGTGGGATTCACTGTAGATACTGATGTAAGTGTGGGTTTGTGTGTTCAGGTTCCTGCACTGAAGGCGTTTGAATCCTTGTCAGCAGAGGTGCAGCTGTACAGTTGTGCTGGACTGGTGCTGTTGTCCTTCATCTTTATCCTCCTTGCTCGCTTTTCTTTCAGGTGAAAAAAGTTTTATAAACTTTACACGCGTAGTAGTTTTTTCTTTATCAGCCAGAAGTAAAAATTGTAATTTACTTAACATCATTCTAAAATTTGGCTTCTTCTGCCAAGCACTAAAGGAGGTATTTACTATAATGTTTACATTCAAGATTACATTTTTTTTTTTTTTAAACCTTTATTAATCTTAGACCTGCAGTAGAGGGGAAAATTCTGTGGGAGAAAAACAACCTTCCTCCTAGCTATTTTATGAATTTAGAAGTCATAGAATGTAGTGCTACGGACTATTTATGATATATTATTTCTAGATTTGTTTTTTAGAACTGTAGCAGAAGGGAAGATTAGTGAATGATTTTGTGAATTTCAAATTTACTCCTAGCTATTTTTATTTTACGGATTTCCTTATTTCTTGCAGCAGAGGGGAAGATTAGTGCATTTTGTGAAGGGTAAACTATCAAATTTCCTCTTAGCTATTTATTTAATTACCTACAGCAGAAAGGAAGGTTGGTGAATATTTTGACAAGTTTTATGGACAATTTATTTGTTTATTCACTTACCTGCAGCAGAGGGGAAGATTAGTGATAAATTTTTGCCCCTTTATGCCATATACTTTCACTGTGTGGAAAAGACCAGCTTCAGCATTTTGCTAAACATCTCTTGTTTTTCTCTATATTCCACTTTTAGGACCAAACCAACACTCTCTGGGAAACAAAAGAGACTGCTTCAGCAAAAACTGGAGTATGTCCAGGAGGTAGTGAAGATCAAAAAGGTAAAGTTTGCATTTGTGTTGTGTTGACACAGCTACAGTGATGATTGACTCAACTAATGACTCCCTTGTATGTTTATGCAGAAAAATCTCTATGAGGAGTACCTGCGTCAGAGTGTGGGTGATCAGGACATGAACTGAGAGGGAATATAGACTTCAAAGATCTGGATAGGATGAATACAGCACCCAGAAGTACCACTAAACCGCATCTAATCATTCCTGTAATGTAGCAGACACCGAGAAGCTATTTCATGGGCACTTAGTTACACACTACTGCACCTGTAAGCTATGTCTTTCAGCATTAAATAATGATGGAGCTGTGGACCAATACTATGTTTGTTTTATTTTTTTAGTCTCATTGCAGTATAACAATTGTACTGTAAGGAATAGTTGAAGGGGCATGTTAGGAGATTGGATTAATGCTCTGAATAATCCTATTGTTTGGCAATAGCAGTTTTTAATATCATTCTCCTTTTCTCTGCTATGTACCTAAAATACTCTGTATTTTATGGTAAATTACCAGAATTACTGAGAAATGTGAAGCCCTTCATTTATGACATTAGATTCTTATGACTTCTGGTGTTTATTTACATCATTGTCAATTTTAATAGAAATATTGAAGCTGGCTTTTGTATACCACACTTTCCTAAGTTTTTATGTCAAGTTATTGCTGTTACGATAATAAAATAATGAATGTATGTGAGTTTGGCTTCATTGCTTTTCAGAAACTGGCAAAGCAAGGACTAGCTGCTAACTAGGCCAAAATCCTCTTTGGAATTTTCGAGTGTGTGCTTTCGTTCGTTCGTTCGTTCGGAATGTAAAAATTATATTTCAGAGTCTTTGCTTTGCTGTAACACATCAATTTAGATTTAAGATTAAATTTGAACTTTATCTTTGTTGAAAACAAAATCATGTCCATTATTGTCAGGCCTGTATATTCTAAATAAGAGTACATTTTTTAAAATCAAAATAACCAATTTAAGACAAGCCCTTGGTACTGGTACAGATCTGTAATCAGTAGTTTGCTATTTTATATATATATATATACATACACACACACACACACACATGTATATATATTTCTAGTTAACATCTGGCGTAAGAATAGCTAATCTGGTATATAACTGACAGACTATTGTTTTGAGTCTATATATTGTTAAAACTAGCTTGCAATCATAGTCTTGCACCGTATGCGATGTTCTTTTGAATCGGTTCTTTATAATGAATCTGCCAAAACGGCTACTTGATTCTTTTGCTCAAAATCAAACGATTTTCAAAACGACTATGACAAATCCTTGTTCATTTATCAGAATTGACCGCAGTTTATTAAAATTGCATGCAAATTCATTGGTAAAAAACAGTGGGAACTTTTTTTCCTGCATTAGACAACATCTTTTTTTTTTTTTTTTTTATCCGTTGACAACAATAGCATTTTCAAACAGTTTCTACAAAAATCGTAAAATATTCTATATGAAAAACAAGAATATGAAACCGACTTGATCACAATATTTTTTATTGCGATTTTAAAGTAAAAGCAATAGCAGCACCCATACTGCGGAAAATGGTTGTCATGGCAATTAGGATATATCCTAAACCTACCCTCTGTAATCGACAACCTGCGGTGTCTATACAAGTGTTTTATTTCTCTTTTGTTTTGTCATTCAATTGCACGATTAACCACAGGTTTTGGAAAATATTCAAAGCCATCTAGCTATGTATTTGCATATATCCTCCAACGAAGACTGCAAGGATAGTTCACATCCTCTCCGGCTATGTCTCAGATCCTAGTGAGCTGGCTACCTAGGCAGCATCACAGGCGTGTTCTCAGTCAGCTTACGCCTACAAGGCCCAAAAGCGCGGTCTTTGTAGTCCGCTCACTAGATTTTGAAACAATCCACGCGTTGTGTGTGACTCTAGGGAGGATGGATGTAATATTAGGTAATATCCGCAGGATTGAACCGGGGAAAGTTGTTTCCTGAACTCTTGGCGCAGTTTTGTTGAAGCCCGACCCTGCTGCACTTCACACAGGAAAAGAAAGACGGATGCGGGCGAAGGGAAGAATATCGAAACGAAAGGAAAATATCGAGACAAACGACGTGAAACCATGGAGGTCTTGGACACGACGGCATCGCGCAGTGAGGAGGAGAACGATGGTATGAACAAACCAGTAGCCTACTTGTTAAACTACAGTCTAAAAATAGAGCTCTGTGTCGATATAAACACATTTGGGCAACTATTCCGAGATTGTTGCGATTGAATTAACGTTAGTAAGCAATGACAATCCGAGCTTGGCGTGCAAACATATCTGATCATGTAACGTTAGCTGCCGAATAGACGGCATTAGATCTTATATATATATATATATATAAACAAAATGTGGGAATGCTGATGACAATCTTATTTTCTGTTGATGATAATAACAGCAGCAGATCAGTGCATGAGAAATCAACAGGTGTTTAGGACCAGAATCAATATTTTTTTGACGTGTGGTGTTTAAATCCTGAATGGGCATTGGACAAATCAAATCAAGTGCTCTTAGTGTCAATCTGCTTTTGGCAAAGTCCATCTTGTTAATGACGTAGAGCTCTGTCATGTATATCTGTAAACGATTCTCTACAAATATGACGGTGTAGGAGAAAGGGACAAGGCTCTTTAGAAGAGTTTCTGAAGCGCTTCTGTGTTTTCCTTCAGCAGGAGCTGCGGCAGACCTGCAGACGCAGCTAATCGAGTGTCGAGCTCAGCTGGAGCACTGGCAGGGCCTGGCCAGCATCTGCGAGCTTTGCAAACAGGAGGAGCTCCAGGAACTGCAAAAACAATGCGACCAGGAGATTCAGTCCTTGCAGGAGGCTCTGAGAGGTGAGGAGGGAGAGAAAGGGTAGGATTGAAGGAGTGTGGTCACCTAAGGTGGAGGTAAAGCACAAGTCTGTTTGCGGATTGTTGATTAATCATGGAGCTTCTGTGGAGAAAAGCCACACTGTGTCTTTACAGGAGTAGCTCATCCAAAAATAACAATTATGTCAATATTTACTCAGTTCCATGCCATTCCAAACCTGTTTTTCTGTGAAACACAAAAGGAGAACACTTCTTTCCATACATACAACATGATAGCAATGAAATGTACCCAAAAGTGCAAAACACCATTAAAAACCCTATTGATGTTGGCATGAAATGGAAAATGTCATCGTCTTTTCTTACCTATTGTGACATATGGCTTTTCTAATGAGGAAAAAAATTAGGAGGAGACTTGATTTTATCCATCAGGAATTGATTGGATCATTGGATTTTTGTCATTTGTTTATCGTGAGTGACAAGTTGCTGGATGGGAGGGATTATTGTTTCTCCTTCAGATGCACACGTCATCAGAGTAGAAAGGGAAGGGAAGTTAATGTTTTTGATGAAAGGTTATGAGGGCACATGAATTTAAAAAGAATGATGATGTGCATGAATAAATCACGTATGTTCCATTAAAAAAAATCCATTTGGTGTTATGGTGATGTTAAAAGAGTCTATACAATTTGTGAGCTGTATTCTCAGTGTTCTGTAAAGACAGTATTTCTAAAGCCAGTTATTATTATTACCACATCCAATTACCAAGTACAATAATGCAGCAAAATAAAATACCCGCCAATAATATATGAAAACACAAATTCATAGCTTAAAAATACATAATAAAATGACTATAATAAAATAAGTAAATAAAAAATTAAAGGGGGTGCTCAGCTTAACTTTGTAAAGAGCCAGCTAGTAGGCTATATTATAAAAAAGGAGAATACTATACCTTGTCAAAGATCTTTAAGGAGCCTGTGAATGCGAAATTCTTGAGCTTTATACAAGTAAACACCTCTTTAATTCACTAATAAAAGGTGGGGGTGAAATGTGTTTCCACTTTAAAGTAATGAGACGTGCAGCTAATAAAGTTGTAAGGCCCGAGCCTTTTGCAGTGACATCAGAATGACCTTGTTATCTTTAATCAAATGCAACTCACTTCTCTCTGCTGAGTCTGACGTATTTAAGGTTGCAGTAATGCCAATCACATTCAGATCTTTCTGAATGCAACAACATTCCTGTATGCAACACTCACTTTTCACAATCCAATTAACAACCAAATTCACGTGGCTCAAACTGTAGGCAAAGTCCAGGTGGATGCTGCACACTGGTGGTGGTTGAGGAGATTCCCCCTCCTTCCATGTAAAGCGCTTTGCGTACCCAGAAAAGCGCTATATAAAATGTAACAAATTAGTAGAGCATAACGCTAGCAATGCGATGGTCATGGGTTTGATTCCCAGGGAATGCATGAACTGTTAAAATGTGTGCTTTGTATGCAGTGCAGGTCACTTTGGATAAAACATCTGCCAAATATGTAAATATAAATGCAATTGATAAAATAAAACCAACATAGTTTTTTCTTGTTCGATAAGCCGTTGCATTTAGAAGCATGTTATATTTCAGAAGTTCAGTTGGTTGCAGTTTCATTTCATTTGCCAACTTGCATGTCATGAAATGAAATTTAACCCAAAGAATTGGAATTGACAGAGAATGTGTTTCAGTGTCATTTTGTGACTGATCCCAGCTTTTTTTCTCCATCTTAGAAACAGCTGCTCAGTATGAGGCTAGAATATCTGTTCTGCAGTCAGAACGATCACATTATAGGAGAGCCACTTCGCCCCAGGACACTAAGGTTTGTGTGTCCCGCCTTCTCTTTTTCTTTTCCCCTCTTTGTTATCCAAGTACTGAGGCCAAGACTGATTTTTCTGAAGTTTCCCTTTTTGAAAGATCTTTCAGTTTCTGTATTAAAATGCCCGTAAGTCACGTTCATTGTGTACATTTGTAAATGTGTAAGTACATTTCATTGTGCATGCAGGGCATCTCTAAAAAGGGCAAGGTGGAGGGTACCTCTCCTCCACAGGGTGGTTCCCCTCCCCTGCGAGCTGCTGACCATGAGGGCTCAGGGTCAGACTCTGATCCACTGGAGCTGTTGGCGGAGACGTCAGATACAGAGACAACAGGCCTTATGATGGCCTACTTTCCCCAGCACTGTGACTCGGCCTCTCTGTCTTCTTTCTCTATGGACACACCCTCTTTACCCCGACATCCGCCCCCTCAAGATGACACCGCCTCCCTGGTGTCCACAGGAACGCTGGTGCCTGAAGCCATCTACCTGCCACCACCGGGACACAGACTGGTCACACATGCAGACTGGGACAAATTGCAAGCACAAGTCAGTATACGCCTAGTTTTTCTAGCAGGTTTCCCACAACCATTGAAAACTGTAATGTAACTGTATTTTAAGATTATGGTTGCCAGGCCTGGAAAAGTCATGAAAATTAAAAAGCACTAAAAAGTAAAGTTTTTCTAGTTACGCTTGGCTCTAGAATACTTAACAGCTAGAAATTACTATTCATGAGTCAGTGCGTGATGTCACCATCCCTCAACTAACTGAATATCTAACTTGAATCTGATATCATTGCATTTTTAGCTTGTAGAGCTTCAAGAGGAGGTGACAGAGCTTCAAAAGCAGAAAGCTGAGCTGGAGAAAGAACTGGATGTGCAAAGCACAGAGACACAAAAACAGGTACAGAAACTCTCAGTTCCTGTCTTTCGCCACACAGACCAAATAAAAACACAGCCAGAATTACTTGCATTGCTTAATATTTTTGTGTAAACAGTCATACATTGATACATTATTTCATGAGTAGCGAGTTCAAAAGATCACCATTTATTTGAAATAGATTTTTTTTGTAACACAATAAATGTCTTCTTTACTATCACTTTTAATCAATTTAATGCATCCTTGCTGAATAAAATTATGTATAAAAATCTTAATGACCCCAAACCTTTGAGTGGAAGAATGTAATGTAATGTAATATAATTTTATATAATATATATTTTTTCAATGTGGTTTAATTGCTTTGAGCATACACCCTGATATAGCATATCTACAGATAATTACTTTCCAAAGCAAAGTTATATATTGATATCTTGATGTGTTTTTGTCTATTGTAGTTGTCGGTGCTTCAGTCTCAGGTGCAAACTTCTGAGACTCTTCTTCAAGACCTACAGAAATCATTTAGCCAGTCACAAAATGCTGTTCAGAGCAGATTGGTGAGTAGCAGCTGAATGGTGCAATCAAAGGGCAGCAGGAATCCATGATCCAACATCTTGATGAGATCACAAACTAATGAGTCTGTGTGTACTTTTTGTCATGCAGGCGGAGCTGTCTTACTCTCAGAAGAGAGTTTGTAATGAACTCTCCAAGTTGAAAGGTGAAGACACTGATGTGGATGAAAATAGCCTTCCACCCCGCAGTCCAACACTAGAGGTATGTGAATGAGTGTGTGTTCAAAAGCGGATTTGACAAAAGGTGGTCAGAGGTGTGTATGTATTTGTCTTAATAAGTGATTAAGTCAGTGTGTATCTCTATGCATAAGGCAGCTCACTGTGAGGAGAGGCTTCGTATTGAAATAGTCAACCTACAGGAACAGCTGGAGACACGCACAGAAGAAAGCGGTCTGTCAATATCATTAGATTACATTACATTAATGCATTTGGCATATGCTTGTTTTTGCTTTCCCTCACTGTTCGTAAAACATTTGAATTAAATGTTTCAGAATAAATCATTTGAATCATCGTCTGCCATTTGTCCTGTTTGTTGAAGCTTTAGATTTTCTCTTCAATGACGTTCTCCTTTTTGTCTTTTCTCCTGATCTTTCTTGTCACATCTGCTCCTCCAGAAATGTTAGAAGGTAAGTCATGCATACTTTCACTTTTTGTCAATAGTGTAGATCCTAGTAGTTGTACGAGGATAGGTTTTGATATTTTAGTGTATTACCATGAAACTGTGTGTCCAGTGTAAGTTTGTGATTGAAATCTCTCTCCCTCAGTTAAGCTTGCCAGCCTGACAGTAGAGACAGACCGCATACAGATCCAAAAGGAAAAGGTATGGCAGCCTTTAATTCTCAGGAGTTATTTCTTGTGCGTTTGTCTGTGTTTTTTATGCATCTCTGCTTGACTCATTTAATCTGACTACCAATAGTTCAGACATTTTTTACACAATATTACAAAATGGACAAATTATGTATCCCTTTATAATTGGATGCACTCTCACAAAATTAAACATGCACATAATGAAATCATGTGACAACAGTGTAGTGTTGTTTGAAAAGTTTGTTGTATAATGCTGTTGTATAATGTGTTCAACATTGTTCAGTGTGTACAATGCAGTACGCTAGTATCCATTGTCCCATCTGTGTGTGCAGTTGGAGGCTGAGCTGCAGGAGTGTCGTGTAGAGGTGCAGGGTCTGCGAGTGGCACTTTCTCACCTTCAGAAGGAGAACAAATCTCACATCCAGGAGAAGGTATGCCTGCATCTTGGTGTGAATAGGTGAATATCACTGAATTGGATTATATAGTAGTTTACATCTCTCTATGTCTGTCTTTCAGGCAGCGTTGCAGCAGCAGTATCGCAGTCAGTTGATCAGTCTGCGCTCTCAACTAGACACTAGTCAAGCTGTGCAGAAGGATTTTGTGCAGCTGTCGCAGTCACTGCAGGTACTTCACTGATTTAGGATTAGCATTGAGTTCAGCATTGTGGCAAAAACTTCAAGCATAGTTTTTTAAAAATAATTTCTTCTCTCTGCATTCTCAGGTGAAACTGGAGCAGATTCGCCAGGCAGAATCTTTGAACCAAGTGAAGCACATTCTAGGGGAGGAGATTGAAGACACTGATTTGCCTGCAGATGCCACATGAAACAATATAAGAATAGGTGACATTTTGGCCAACCAAAGGGAAGAGACTCTAGTGGACAAGGAGGTGGTCCTCAAAAAGGGCCAAGCTGAGGTGGGCTGCCTACATGAAAAAGAAACCTACAGTGACATGAAGAACTAAACGGCCATTCCTGCACTCATGGGTTCACAATTCTTCTAAAGAACTCAAACCATATGGGGAAACACGATTCCTTATCAATCTGGACAAACTGGAATTGCTAATACTTGAGTTTTGGGAAAAGCTAATACACTGACTACTAGCTGACTAGACTTAATGCTACTGCAGTGTAAGTTTTATCTTCCTGGCCTAATCCTCCTTTCCTAATAGATACTGATGGAGATATATTACTCATTTTCAGCACCTGTCACCAGCAAAATAAAAACCAAAAAACATACTGGGGGCAATTGGAACTTTTAGAATATGTATTTTTTCTCAGACTACTACAGACCTACCCGTTATTGCTATAAGAAAAAAATCTATGCGCCAAAGTAACAGTATCCTTAATAAATATATAATGAGAAGGACTATCATAATATTTAATAATATTCCACATAATATCGGAATATTTTTCGCCTTTATGTGGTACTAATTCTTTTAGCTGTCTTAAATAATGTCTTAATACATAATAATTTTTTGAAATGAGATGCAACCTATTTTAATAAGCGAAGTGTAATTAGCTGTTGACTAAATGCTAGTTTTACAATATATTATTGTTTGAAAGATTAAATCTTTCAATTCATACCATTTGTATTCATAAGTAGTGTTAAAATTGCCCCCAGTTTCACAGCCATGATGACATCTTTTATGATATCCACCAGCAACAGTGTTAGCATACTCCTTTTATGTTAACTTAAAGCCAAAAACCAAGAGATCAAATAAATATTACTTTAAATTAAATGCATTAGAAAATATTACCCCCTAAAATATTTTTGTACCTCAAATGGTTTTTGTTGAAACTTTATTTCAAAGTGAAATATTCATACTTGCTGTTCTCAGACAGATAGAGAACTTATGCTGAAAAGACAGTTGCCCCCTGCTATAATACTACCTACCCTACTATAATTATTTTTGCATTCAATTTAAGGCCAAAGTCCCTTTACTGGAAAGAGCCATCATTTTATTATGAAGCATCTGGTGCCTGAGCCAATGAACAGTGGAAGATCAATGGTATGTTAAAGAGTTGATAAAACACTAAATCTGTTTGAATGGGGCTAATAAATGTTAATTCATATATATGTAGCACAATGTTAGTAACACATCTGAGTGCATTACATATGTATGAAAAATAAAAGTTAAACTAAAAGACAGTAACAGATCACGCATGTTTTTTATACACATCTTTATTTTAAGAATAGCGTTTTCATTAGAATATACCGTTCATAACAATATATATATTAAATTAAGTCTTAATACATATACATAACACATTTTACTTAAATATTTTTTTCCTTTGTTCTATAAGGTTTTAGATTTTATGGATGATAAATCCATGATGGATTCACTGGTTCACAGTGGTTTTCGTTTTCACTCCTGGCGAACTTAATTTTTCTGCTTTGGAGTGCTGTTTTGCTCATTTCTTCTTCGCTTTTTCAGTCCCACTTTTTGGACACTAGATTCTCATCTTTCTCTGTTCAAGAAAATAAGTTATGTGAGACAGGATGACTTAAAGATAGTCCACAACACTATTGTGAATTTCAAATAATCTAGGCACACATTGCTTTGAAGCACATAATCATAAAGGTATAGTCTTAACAGTCATAATTACATTTTTAAATATGGAAATATTCTTTAAACTAACTGTTTTAATTGAACATAATCTACTGGGGATTATTATCCCCAGTAGATTATTAACCAGACAAAACCACATATATAAGGAAGAGTTTAGCATTAACCCTGCATTTTCCCTACTGATAATGATATTAAGATTCTACAGTGGCATCTATTGCTATATGGAGCATTACTGTACAGTCATTCACTGATTCAGAAGTCATGAGGTCTGAGGAGCTCCATGACTCACACTAGAATATATACATCTCAATCAACAAGCCAAAGAATGTAGCACAATTTGTCCATACACAAACAGACACAGGGATGCAGGCAGGCACGGACAGAGAGGATTGTGGGATACCTTGCTTTGTTACAGGAATATGGAGGGGGACAGGATTAGGCTGGAATGAAATAAAAAGGGGTTGAGCAGGGGATTGAGTGAGGAGGAAAAGGGTAAAGAGGAGGAATATTTACACCACCAGAAGAAATGTAGTGCAGAGAGGAGGGTTCAGAAAAGAGGGCAAGAGATAAGTAAAGGAGAATACAATTTTAAAAGGGAAATGAATTAGTCATAATAGGAATTTATATTTGCTTGTTATACAGTTAGTCAGGACTTTATTACATGCAGTAAGTGGTTGAATTGGTTTTAATCAGTATTTAGTTATGTATTTGTATGTTACTTTAAATATGCTTAGTATGTTTATTTTAAATATCAATATCCATTTCTTTTATTCACATAAAAATGTATGAATCGTTTGTAAATCTTAAAAAAAAACATATAAAAATATTTTAATTAAATTTGTGATGTTTGTGTGTTTTAAAAGGTTACTTACGCTCCAAATAGTTACGGGCAACAAACTTAAGCAGCTCGTCAATAAGGATGACAGGGAAGGAAAGCTTCAGAACAACGATCCACTGGTCCAAGCTGAGATGGGTTAGCTTGAAGATCATCTGTTAGAGGAAAAGGCAGAGATTAGCAAATGACAGATTATAACAGTTGGATTAAAACAGAATGATGGGATAATTTAATTAAATGAATTAATTAAAGAATTAAAATATTGCCATATAATGGATTTGCAGTTGAATCAGTGTTTGGGACATGACTTGGACTGCATTCCAGTTTTTTTTTCTTCCCTCCGTGTCATTGACATGGATGTACATCATTGATTACGTTGCATAAGTGCCCACTACTGACATAACCATTGCAATGGGTTGAAGTGGAACAACTAAGCCCTTGATCAGTCGAAATCTGCTATGGAGCTGATTTATTACTTACATTTTTCCCTTAAGAATTTGTTTGATGCAGCATTATAATATATGTATATAGGTATGCTTGAGCTATTTTAAATATTTTTTTAAAAATCATTTATATATCATAGAGTTGTTTGGGGTGGGGATAAATTAAACACAATCTGTGGTGATGTCACAATCGTGTTGCATTGTGGTCTATGGAGCAACCTGAAGTGTAATTATGAAGTAGACTTGCTCCCTCTGACAAAATCGAGGGGTCGAAGGCCTGTCCATATAAACGTCCCTTATCCACTTCACCAAGTGGAACACACTTCAAAATGGCAGCGGGGATTCCCCCGAGGGAAAGTGCTTAGGGAAGTTTGCGAGTGTATGTCTAAAAGCGAATGCAGCCTTGGACATGAGAAGTGTCTCTTGGCTGGGCCTGGTCATGGTCTCCTAAGGCTCCTGGGCACACATCTTTCATCACCCCCTAGTGGCAGCCCCTTTAGCCTGCATAGCAATATTGCTAAACACATGAACTGAACCGAATTCAGCATGCTGGATGGACACCGTACTTACGGGCAGAGGGTCCACATAGATGATCATGAAGTGAAGAGACATGGAGAGACTCATGGCTCCCACCAACCATACATTGCTCCACGGAGGCATACGCAGCAGAGACTGATTCTCAGATAAGCTGCAAAACCATGCGCCAATGTATGTTAAAATCAGCATAAAAACATTTATGATTAGCTGCTTTATGATGGTTGGATTTGGTAAGTACTGACCTGTTTAGAGCGTTGCACATCTCAATGGTGACCAGGACAGACAGAGCCATTGTCATGGGAGGAGCAGCCTCGAACACCTCACATTCAATGCCAGCAAAGTCCTCGTTCTCAGCAGTGCACTGCATGAAGTGGGACTGGGGACAGAGAATAGGTTTAGCATTATTACTTTACTGTGAAATGTACCACATTGTTACTGTCATTTATAGTTATCAATTGTTTCATTCTCAACATTCAGGGACATCAGCCATCAATTATTGCATCCCTGTAGCATTAGATTCTCACCAGCTGGTAGAAAGAAACCATGGGGCCATCTTCGCAGTAAAGGAACCACCAGCCAGCAGCAGCGACAGTTGCAGCACCAACATAAACTGAGAGAGAGATTAAACAGAATCTGTAATGCAGTCTTGAGGTAATCAGGGAAGGTACAATATCACTGAATACATGGTGAACCTAGATTAGATCAGGGATTAAGCAGAAATATGGAAAGCAGCACACCTCCAATGGCCAGGTATCTGAAGAAGAGCCAGCCAGAGATGAGGGGCTCTTTGGGGGAGCGGGGAGCCTTGCCCATGATGTCCAAATCGGGGGGGTTGAATCCCAGAGCGGTGGCAGGAAGACCGTCAGTCACCAGGTTCACCCACAGAAGCTGAACTGGGATCAGAGCCTCAGGAAGACCAAGAGCAGCAGTCAGGAAGATACTGAAGAAGATGGAGAAAATAAATCCGGTTTAGAGTCAGCTTATTCCCGATTCCAGAGGGTAAATGTATAAGAGAGAGACTGTCACTCACCACACGACCTCTCCGACGTTGGAGGAGATGAGGTAGCGGATGAACTGCTTCATGTTGTTGTAAATGGCTCTGCCCTCCTCAACGGCAGCCACGATGCTGGAGAAGTTGTCATCGGCCAGGACCATCTCAGAGGCTGACTTGGCAACAGCAGTGCCAGAGCCCATGGCAATGCCAATCTCTGCCTTCTTCAGGGCAGGAGCATCATTCACACCATCACCAGTCTGGAGAGTGGTGTAGCAAAAAACGCAAGCATGTTAAATGTATTTCTTAAATATATTTAGGCTTTTGTAACATTTTCTGTAATTTGCTCCATTCAGTTCCTTTACCATGGCAGTGATCTCATCAAAACCCTGAAGGAACTCAACGATCTTGCTCTTGTGGGAGGGCTCAACACGAGCGTAACAGCAGGCCTTACGCACAGCCTCTCTCTGCTGGGCCAGTGGCAGGTCATCAAACTCACGGCCAGTGAAAGCACGGCCTGTCACATCCTCATCATCACTGAAGATGCCAATACGGCGGCAGATAGCCACAGCAGTACCTTTGTTATCACCTGGGAAGAAGAAATTATATTTTCAGCATTATTGCATTGGATTACCTATTATGCATTTTTGTCAGATGTTCTGTCAGCACTTATTTGAGGATTGAACATGATTCACCTGTGATCATGATCACACGGATACCAGCAGCCCTGCACAGCTCAATGGATCCAACAACCTCTTTACGAGGAGGATCCAGCATACCAACGCAACCCACGAAGGTGAGATCAGTCTGTGAGGAAAGCAAAAAAGGAGGGGTTAGCTTTATCAAAATTCAGTTATCATGCTAGTTGGAATTCAAATTATGTGTTTTTCTTTCACACAAATCACACACCTCATATTCAGCAAACTTGGTGGAGTCCTCCAGGTTCATCTCCTCCTTTCTCAGAGGGTTGTCACGGGTTGCCAGTGCCAGGCAGCGCAGGGTATCACGGCCAGTTCCCCATTCCTTGATCACAGCCATGATCTTATCCTTAACTGGACCAGTCAGGGGCACACGGGTGGTTCCAACACGCACATAGGCGCATCTGTCAATCACACCCTCCGGAGCACCCTACAACAATAACGATTTTGTGATTTAGATTCTCTTTAAGGTATTTAATTTTACTAGGTCTTTTTAAGGATTGGTCTTACCTTGACAAACATCTTGTTTCCAACAGGGGCCTTGGAGGCCTTTGCAGGGGAGCAATAGACGGACATGGACTTCCTGTCACGGGAGAACTCAAGAGTAAATTCCTTCTTCATAAGCTGCTTGACCACCTAGAAAAACCAAGGAATTAAATAAAAATTCTATCTTGGAATATGAACTTGACAGTTGAACTATTACAAAATATCTGACCATAAGTGTGTAGAAGCAGCACTATCATAGATATCCTATTGATATTTCAGTCACAAATTAGGGCTAATACAGCTGAGGGACACAGTACAGCGGACCAACATGAACTTAAAGAGCTCCGAAGAGGCTGAGATACTTACAGTGCAGCATGTGTTGGCTCTCTCCACCTTGGACAGACCACGGACATCAGTGTTGAACACGTTCATCTTTTCAACCAGGCAGCACAGGGCGGTCTCTGTAGCTTCACCCACTTTCTCATAGATTCCTTTCGACTGTAAAACAAGAGAGTGAGAGTTAAGCTCAGTTGTTGCTCCACAAATGGAAGATATTTGATGAAAACAGAATAAATGTTTGCTTACCTCATTGTAGTCCAGAGAGGAGTCATTGCACAAGGCGCAGATGGTTGCCAGCTCAACAAGGCCATCATACTGACCACACTTGACAGGAAGTCCACCCTTAGTACTGTAAGGTAAAGTAAGGAGAACGGTGAGTCTCTCTGTGTGCGTGTGTTTGCATCACTTAATGAATATAAAATTACTTACACTTCTCCCTCTGGTGTGTACTTGGATCCAGAAATGTCATACTGGTCAAGAGTCACAGAGTCTCCGTCCACCTTCTCAATGACGAACATCTAAATACCAAGAGAACAAAGCTTAAAACAGTGTGCAAAACAGAATGGTTTCGTGGTTGTAGTGAGAGGACTGGTGTATTGGTGCTTGCTTAATTTCTTTTGGAGCAAGACAATGTCTCTCACAAACCTTTGTAACACACATCTGATTGGTGGTGAGGGTGCCGGTCTTGTCTGAGCAAATGACGGATGTGCAGCCCAGAGTCTCTACAGAGGGAAGAGAACGGACGATGGCGTTCTTCTTAGCCATACGGCGGGTTCCCAAAGCCAAGCAGGTAGTGATGACAGCAGGCAGACCTATTTGGAAAATAACAGATGTGTCAAATACACACTGTTGGATTTACTCAATTTAAAAAGTCATGACTCCTGTAATCTCACCTTCAGGGATGGCAGCTACAGCAAGAGCCACAGCGATCTTGAAGTAGTAGACAGCACCACGGATCCAGGAGCCACCGTGGACGGGGTCGTTAAAGTGGCCAATGTTGATGAGCCAGACAGCCACACAGATGAGGGAAATGACTTTGGAGAGCTGCTCACTGAACTCATCCAGCTTCTGCTGCAAGGGGGTCTTCTCTTGCTCAGTGGCAGCCATCTGGTCACGGATTTTACCGATCTCAGTGGAGACGGCGGTGGCAACCACAACTCCGATAGCCTTGCCAGAAGCGATGTTAGTGCCCTAGGAAAGCGAGAGAATGTTTTAGTGCTAGTGCTAGAAAAAGAGGAGAGGGACACCAAAAAGCTGACGAAAGGGAAACTCACAGAGAAAAGCATGTTCTTCTTGTCCTGGTTGACAGCCCTGGGGTCAGGAACAGACTCTGTGTGTTTAATCACACTGACGGACTCACCTGAGAATAAAGTGGGAAAAGAGCTGAGAGAAGGATAAAGTTACATGCAATGTTTTTGTGAGTATTGGGAGGCAACTGATCAGATTTTGTAAATCAGAGACGAACCAGTGAGGATAGACTGGTCCACACGCAGAGTTGTGGAGCGGATGGCGGTGATTCTGATATCAGCAGGGACTTTGTCACCAACTACACAGGAAAAAGTTGAGAATTAAGAAGACGTGTGAAGAACAATTCATATTTAAAACTTAAATATTTATATATTTATACATCGATTAATGGTTTGACAATGATTTGAAATTCTTCTAGTCCATGGCTGTCCAATCCTGCTCCTGGAGGTCCACCTTCTTACTGAGTTTAGCCACAGACTATAGAAATACAAAGACGGTTCATTCCATAGATATGTATGGTTCACTCCTATACTTATGAATGGCAGAAACTGCAACGTGCCATATGGCGGAATAGTCCCGTCTTCTAAGTGAAAGAGCCAATCGCTGATTGGTAAAGTCATTGTGTCACTGCAGCAACCATTAGAAGCTCCGGTTCCCATAGAAACCTGAGGCTAGACCAGCTAAAGCGCATGCGCAGTCATTACCGCATTATGACTGCGCATGCGCATTGGCTGGTCTAACCTGAAAAATAATATTTTTTACGTTATTTGAGCATAAGAAACGACATTGATGGGGCAGTTCATTTCAGATTTTGTTGCTGATTTGAAATATGTAATTTAATTGCGAGTTCAGCGAGCAGTTTTTGTGATTTCAGGATCCCATTCTTTTAGAAAGGACTTGGTCTTGTATGAGCAGGCCGGAGGCATTGCAAATATGGCCGCCGACTTTCCTTGAAAGGGAATTTGGTTTAGCTTCAACCCTACTTAAACCAAAATACAAAAAAACATGTTTCCTCATCTCTTTGAATGACGAAACCTAAAATTCTCCAAAACTGTTCACCAAGCTTGCAATTAAATTTCATATTCAAAATCACCAATGAAATCTTGACAACAACTGTCTCATAAATGTTGTTTCTTATGCTCATTTTCCAGGCTATGCTTATGTTTATTTTTCAGGCTAGCACAGCCAATGTGCATGCGCAGTCCTAGCACAACCTAGCAGCATCCGGAGCTTCTAACGGCAGCTGCAGAGACATGATGACTGTACTGATTAGCGATTGGCTCTTTTATTGAGAAGACGGGACTATTCCGCTATATTGCGCATTACACTTTCTCCCACAGGGAAGTAATAGGAGTGCAACGTCTTGGTATATCTGAAGTCTTTGCTTAAACACACCTGAACCAGCTGACCAAGGTCTTCAGGACTATAAAAACATCCAAGCAGATATGTTGGAGCTACTTTGCATGTAAATGGCCCATCAGATTTGCCCTCCTGATCTAAAGATAATTCCGCTGTCAATAATGTTTGCTGATCTTTTGGTGAAAGATTAGAGATTCAAAAGGGAGACCTGATCAAGGGGGAAATACATAAAAGAGAAGAATGACAAGGACAAGCCGACCTTCAACATGGTGTAAACAAGTGGCCTAGAGAAAATGAGTGATGAGGAAGGAACAGGTGGAAGAGGGAAAGAGAAGGGGCAAGGGATTGAAAGAGGGCAAGTAGAGGAACAGGTGCTGGGATGTATTTATATACAGGCCTTTTCTTTGCTCATGCTCTCGCGGGTTCTTTCAGCCTTTTCTGATCCCATTACTCTATATTCTTCCTCCCACTGTCACACACACCGTAATTGCCTTAAAAGGACGCTCACACTTTCTCAAGGGCATAAGTCGCTTATAGTCCTGTCGCCTCCAGACACGTGTCTCATTACTTGACATCATTGTGGTTACACAGTGTAACAGTTGGCTTGAAGGTGTTGCTTACTCTGCATTTCCATTTTCAGACCATTGCACTGTTTCTGTGTGTTAGAGTGTTACGAGATTGTTCTGTGTTGATGCTGTCAGACACTCATGTCCACTGATATACCTGACACTTCCACAATGTCTCCAGGAACAATCTCTCTGGCTTTGATCCTCTGTACGCTCTTTCTGTCAGCACGGTAGACTTTACCCATCTCTGGCTCATACTCCTTCAGAGCCTCGATGGCGCTCTCCGCATTGCGCTCCTGTGAAAACAAAGTTCTTGATCAGTTCCTGCTCCCCTTAGGATTTTACACCTTGATGTCTCTCTCCTTCCAAGGGTGTGCATACTTTCCAAATGACTGTTGTGCTCGCTGTATGGACCCTTGATGAAACCTGATCAGCTTCTAGTATTTTTGCCACCGGACCTTTGTGAATACTGCTGTGCCTAACCTTTGACCTCTGATGTCATTTACACCACTCTAAGTTCTAATGCTTGCATTCACTGTATATTATATATAGTGGCCCCCAAAATAGTTTTGGACTTCAGTTACTCTTGAAATGCATTTTTTTTTATTGTATTAGATAACTGCAAGATAACTACAAGTGGTATCTTCAAACAAATGATGCTAGAGCTTTTCTTAGTGATACCTTCAGTTTAGCCATTTACAATTATTTTTTTAACCAACTGGACAAGGTTATTTTACCAGTAGTGGATTTATGAGGTCTGTTTCTCTTAATTCACATGTAGTGTAATTGTAAGTGTAGTTAATCCTCACATTACCAGAACATTTCCAAATACTTTTTGCCTTCGATTTGAACAATATACCTCCTGTCTTAAGATTTAAAACCTTATAAACATGTTTTTGTCCAATGTTTTGAAAAGTGTTTTCTAAATTTCTTTTTACTTTAAATTTTATATTTCTCTTTTTATGTTAACAATAAGTGCATCTTAGTTGAAAATGTTGTCATTTTATTTTATTTTATTTATTTATTTTATATTATAATTAATTTTTTAATTTTTTTGGAGGTTGCCTCTATTATCCAGATACCTGCCGGTGTATTTTGGGAAGTAAAATGGATGTGCATATTTACCTGCCATACTCCAACGACAGCATTAGCAATAAGGATGAGAAGGATGACAAATGGCTCGACAAAGGCAGTGACAGTTTCCTCGCCTTCCTCAAACCAGGCCAGTACCTGATGAACAGAGAGAGTGTGAGAGAGACATCCAAGATCCATATGGGAGGTAAAAGAAAATGTAATATTTACAATCATTTTTATTAGAGTCTGATTAAAGAGACAGTGGATGTATGTGAAATTGTGTGTGTGTGTGTGTGTGTGTGTGTGTGTGTGCACTCGTTTGGGTGGTTTGGACACAAATCTGTATAATGACATGGATATGACGAGGTAGGTATTACAATGTGAAGGTGGTTTATGAGGACACTGCCTATGTCCACATAATTCAAAAGGCTTTAAAAAAAACATACTAAATGGTGTTTTTCTTTGAAAATCTAAAAATGCACAAAGTGTTCTGTAATGGGTAGGTGTGTTTTCTGTGTGCGCATACGCTCTGAAAGTTTTGCTCAAGTAAGTGTAACCCCATTCAGTTTCTTGGACTGACTTAAGACCACCTCAAAATAACACTCCTTTCCTCTCTGTCTAATTCACTCACTCTCTCTCTTTTTTATTTTTCTCTCTATTCTTTCTCTGTCCTTGCTTCTCCTCAAAGCTTCTATCCTGGCCTTCTAAGGCCATAATGACAGCTGTAATAAGGCTCGACGAAGACCTGAACAAAACAGCAGAACTAATGCTGTCTGCTTCATTTATTTCAAAACAGATTTGGAAGAAAGAACGAACTGCCTTTTTATGTGCCGTCACTCGTTCATTATCAGAGCGGCGAGTACTCAGATTTCAAGAGTGAGGGCATGTATGTGTCTAGGACTAAGAAAAGATACCTAGCATCTCATGCTAGCAGTGTTGTTTCACGCAACTATAAGAATTCCATACTACCCGGCACAGATAAACAGCTGGATTATTGTCTACCCATTATATACTCGAGGCCGTAGGGTTACCGTTTAGCTTGATTGACAGGAACGGATGGGAATGTGGGAAATGTGTCCCTGTCCTTCACATTCACATTATTAATCATTGTCTGTACCTCTAAATGAAACCCCGTCCATTCATTAAAATGTTACAGCTCTGTGACTGTAAACCTAACCTAAGTCAGCATGACCCAGGCTATGAATTGCTGAATTATTGAAGCATTACCTGTGCAAAGAGAGGTTTCTAAAAGCTTTGCACTACATGATGTTAGTTAGTTTCTGTTTACTTACAAAAGAGATGCAAGCAGCGAACAGCAGGATCCTGACCAAGAGATCTTCAAACTGCTCAACCACCAGCTCCCAGATGCTCTTACCTGAGAGAGAAGGTAATGTTTCATTTATATATATATATATATATATATAGTTCAATAAGTAAGTCAATATGACCAATTGGTTAGCACAACAAGCATGATCTTTGTTTGACTGAAAAGAGAAGTGCATAAATCAAACGGAAACTGACTGGAAAAAAAAAACTGAATTACAGAGCTGATGTCAATTCTACGTCTAGGTCTTGTCATATAATTCTATAATAACAGTAAATGGAGAACTCACCTTCTTCAGCGGGCAGCTCTGTGATTGGTCAGTTTGGTCCAGTAGACAAGATGAATGGCAGATGTGGGTAGAAACAAAACCGTTAGAATTAGCCATTAATATCTTTCCCATCAACAATCACCATAACATAGCGTATTATATGATGGTATAATACTTCATTCTGAAATGAGCTGAGCTCACACATATCAAAGTGTTCAGTTAGTAGTCTAGCCATTTGTCCTTTTGTTCGACCTTCTACTGAAGTCCCTGTAGGCTTAAAATGGCCCCTGTGTTTCAGCTGTCACTTTATTGCTTTTCTTCTTTCTTTCCTTTATCTTCTAATCTTGCTTTAACAACTTAATGTTATTATGCTGCATGGATAAGTGCATCTGTTCAGGGTTATTTTGCCTTTGGCTGAGAGCTTTAAATTCTCTATGCAGTATGTAAAGTACTTCTGGAAATGTATGCTGTCTTTTCTAAAAAAATTTTAATGCATCTGAATTGAATTTAAAGAAAATCTAAAAATGCACAAAGTGTTCTTGGGTGGGTAGGTGTGTTTTCTGTGTGCGCATACGCTCTGAAAGTTTTGCTCAAGTAAGTGTAACCCCATTCAGTTTCTTGGACTGACTTAAGACCACCTCAAAATAACACTCCTTTCCTCTCTGTCTAATTCACTCACTCTCTCTCTTTTTTATTTTTCTCTCTATTCTTTCTCTGTCCTTGCTTCTCCTCAAAGCTTCTATCCTGGCCTTCTAAGGCCATAATGACAGCTGTAATAAGGCTCGACGAAGACCTGAACAAAACAGCAGAACTAATGCTGTCTGCTTCATTTATTTCAAAACAGATTTGGAAGAAAGAACGAACTGCCTTTTTATGTGCCGTCACTCGTTCATTATCAGAGCGGCGAGTACTCAGATTTCAAGAGTGAGGGCATGTATGTGTCTAGGACTAAGAAAAGATACCTAGCATCTCATGCTAGCAGTGTTGTTTCACGCAACTATAAGAATTCCATACTACCCGGCACAGATAAACAGCTGGATTATTGTCTACCCATTATATACTCGAGGCCGTAGGGTTACCGTTTAGCTTGATTGACAGGAACGGATGGGAATGTGGGAAATGTGTCCCTGTCCTTCACATTCACATTATTAATCATTGTCTGTACCTCTAAATGAAACCCCGTCCATTCATTAAAATGTTACAGCTCTGTGACTGTAAACCTAACCTAAGTCAGCATGACCCAGGCTATGAATTGCTGAATTATTGAAGCATTACCTGTGCAAAGAGAGGTTTCTAAAAGCTTTGCACTACATGATGTTATTTAGTTTCTGTTTACTTACAAAAGAGATGCAAGCAGCCAACAGCAGGATCCTGACCAAGAGATCTTCAAACTGCTCAACCACCAGCTCCCAGATGCTCTTACCTGAGAGAGAAGGTAATGTTTCATTTATATATATATATATATATATATAGTTCAATAAGTAAGTCAATATGACCAATTGGTTAGCACAACAAGCATGATCTTTGTTTGACTGAAAAGAGAAGTGCATAAATCAAACGGAAACTGACTGGAAAAAAAAAACTGAATTACAGAGCTGATGTCAATTCTACGTCTAGGTCTTGTCATATAATTCTATAATAACAGTAAATGGAGAACTCACCTTCTTCAGCGGGCAGCTCTGTGATTGGTCAGTTTGGTCCAGTAGACAAGATGAATGGCAGATGTGGGTAGAAACAAAACCGTTAGAATTAGCCATTAATATCTTTCCCATCAACAATCACCATAACATAGCGTATTATATGATGGTATAATACTTCATTCTGAAATGAGCTGAGCTCACACATATCAAAGTGTTCAGTTAGTAGTCTAGCCATTTGTCCTTTTGTTCGACCTTCTACTGAAGTCCCTGTAGGCTTAAAATGGCCCCTGTGTTTCAGCTGTCACTTTATTGCTTTTCTTCTTTCTTTCCTTTATCTTCTAATCTTGCTTTAACAACTTAATGTTATTATGCTGCATGGATAAGTGCATCTGTTCAGGGTTATTTTGCCTTTGGCTGAGAGCTTTAAATTCTCTATGCAGTATGTAAAGTACTTCTGGAAATGTATGCTGTCTTTTCTAAAAAAATTTTAATGCATCTGAATTGAATTTAAAAAAGGTCTTGAGATACAGTATAACTAATTGATCTTTTTCTCTGATGTCTGTTCTCAACTGATCACAACTAAACATGTACTAAGTTGGGAATTCTTGCTACCTCCCCTTCAAAATGTCCTGTTCTGTTCATTCGTCCCAACATTGTTTCATTGCAATCAAACATCCATTCAGATTTTACAGATGCCTCCATCATTCGTCCACGCGTTCCTCACCATTGAATCCATACTTGTCTTGGTTTTTCTTGACCTGATCCGGAGCGAGGCCTGTGGTCTCGCTCACGCTGAAGTAGGCCAGGCATTCTGCTGTTTCTTTGGTGTGTGCGTTCTCCATCCTGTCTGCTCAAAGGGGAGACTTCAAAAATACAACACAAGAGATGTAGATGAGTTGGATTCCTACCCAGAGAAATGCAGAAAACCCCGTTTTAAGGCTTTTTACAGGAAACTAAAGTTGGTTAAAAAACAAATTGAGTGCAAAATAGATTACGCACCAACACTTTTTAAAAGTGTAGGATAGGGACAAAACAGATGGCCCCTTGATTCTCTCTCCCCTCTCTCTTTCTCTCTCCTTCTCCTCCCTCTGGAGCGCAGGGCTGACAGAAAGTGCAAACTTCCACCCATCTCTGTAGAGTTTTATAAAGACACCAGACAAACCATCTCCTAGATCACACCCCTATTGGCTGAGATCAGACAAATATGGTGAGGAAGGGGCATGGCCTTGGGAAGAGAGATGAAGGGGTGTGATTGGAGCAATTGGGCGACAACTGCAGTGGGGGTGAGCAGCCTTGAAAGCGGGGTTGAAATTTGGATCTGTTTTTGGAACGTGCACCGACAGGAGGATGGAGACAGTGAATGGGGAATTGTGGTGCTGGTATGGGGGGGGGTGTCGAATGAGTGATTGCTCAAATGGTTTTGGGATGTTGATATGCAGTAAGGGACGACCAAGGACTTGGCTTTTTGTGGGGATTAAAAACGTACAATTGTGTGTGTGTGTGTGTGTGTGTGTGTGTGTGTGTGTGTGTGTGTGTGTGTGCACTCGTTTGGGTGGTTTGGACACAAATCTGTATAATGACATGGATATGACGAGGTAGGTATTACAATGTGAAGGTGGTTTATGAGGACACTGCCTATGTCCACATAATTCAAAAGGCTTTAAAAAAAACATACTAAATGGTGTTTTTCTTTGAAAATCTAAAAATGCACAAAGTGTTCTGTAATGGGTAGGTGTGTTTTCTGTGTGCGCATACGCTCTGAAAGTTTTGCTCAAGTAAGTGTAACCCCATTCAGTTTCTTGGACTGACTTAAGACCACCTCAAAATAACACTCCTTTCCTCTCTGTCTAATTCACTCACTCTCTCTCTTTTTTATTTTTCTCTCTATTCTTTCTCTGTCCTTGCTTCTCCTCAAAGCTTCTATCCTGGCCTTCTAAGGCCATAATGACAGCTGTAATAAGGCTCGACGAAGACCTGAACAAAACAGCAGAACTAATGCTGTCTGCTTCATTTATTTCAAAACAGATTTGGAAGAAAGAACGAACTGCCTTTTTATGTGCCGTCACTCGTTCATTATCAGAGCGGCGAGTACTCAGATTTCAAGAGTGAGGGCATGTATGTGTCTAGGACTAAGAAAAGATACCTAGCATCTCATGCTAGCAGTGTTGTTTCACGCAACTATAAGAATTCCATACTACCCGGCACAGATAAACAGCTGGATTATTGTCTACCCATTATATACTCGAGGCCGTAGGGTTACCGTTTAGCTTGATTGACAGGAACGGATGGGAATGTGGGAAATGTGTCCCTGTCCTTCACATTCACATTATTAATCATTGTCTGTACCTCTAAATGAAACCCCGTCCATTCATTAAAATGTTACAGCTCTGTGACTGTAAACCTAACCTAAGTCAGCATGACCCAGGCTATGAATTGCTGAATTATTGAAGCATTACCTGTGCAAAGAGAGGTTTCTAAAAGCTTTGCACTACATGATGTTATTTAGTTTCTGTTTACTTACAAAAGAGATGCAAGCAGCCAACAGCAGGATCCTGACCAAGAGATCTTCAAACTGCTCAACCACCAGCTCCCAGATGCTCTTACCTGAGAGAGAAGGTAATGTTTCATTTATATATATATATATATATATAGTTCAATAAGTAAGTCAATATGACCAATTGGTTAGCACAACAAGCATGATCTTTGTTTGACTGAAAAGAGAAGTGCATAAATCAAACGGAAACTGACTGGAAAAAAAAAACTGAATTACAGAGCTGATGTCAATTCTACGTCTAGGTCTTGTCATATAATTCTATAATAACAGTAAATGGAGAACTCACCTTCTTCAGCGGGCAGCTCTGTGATTGGTCAGTTTGGTCCAGTAGACAAGATGAATGGCAGATGTGGGTAGAAACAAAACCGTTAGAATTAGCCATTAATATCTTTCCCATCAACAATCACCATAACATAGCGTATTATATGATGGTATAATACTTCATTCTGAAATGAGCTGAGCTCACACATATCAAAGTGTTCAGTTAGTAGTCTAGCCATTTGTCCTTTTGTTCGACCTTCTACTGAAGTCCCTGTAGGCTTAAAATGGCCCCTGTGTTTCAGCTGTCACTTTATTGCTTTTCTTCTTTCTTTCCTTTATCTTCTAATCTTGCTTTAACAACTTAATGTTATTATGCTGCATGGATAAGTGCATCTGTTCAGGGTTATTTTGCCTTTGGCTGAGAGCTTTAAATTCTCTATGCAGTATGTAAAGTACTTCTGGAAATGTATGCCGTCTTCTCTAAATTTTTTTTAATGCTTCTGAATTGAATTTAAAAAAGGTCTTGAGATACAGTATAACTAATTGATCTTTTTCTCTGATGTCTGTTCTCAACTGATCACAACTAAACATGTACTAAGTTGGGAATTCTTGCTACCTCCCCTTCAAAATGTCCTGTTCTGTTCATTCGTCCCAACATTGTTTCATTGCAATCAAACATCCATTCAGATTTTACAGATGCCTCCATCATTCGTCCACGCGTTCCTCACCATTGAATCCATACTTGTCTTGGTTTTTCTTGACCTGATCCGGAGCGAGGCCTGTGGTCTCGCTCACGCTGAAGTAGGCCAGGCATTCTGCTGTTTCTTTGGTGTGTGCGTTCTCCATCCTGTCTGCTCAAAGGGGAGACTTCAAAAATACAACACAAGAGATGTAGATGAGTTGGATTCCTACCCAGAGAAATGCAGAAAACCCCGTTTTAAGGCTTTTTACAGGAAACTAAAGTTGGTTAAAAAACAAATTGAGTGCAAAATAGATTACGCACCAACACTTTTTAAAAGTGTAGGATAGGGACAAAACAGATGGCCCCTTGATTCTCTCTCCCCTCTCTCTTTCTCTCTCCTTCTCCTCCCTCTGGAGCGCAGGGCTGACAGAAAGTGCAAACTTCCACCCATCTCTGTAGAGTTTTATAAAGACACCAGACAAACCATCTCCTAGATCACACCCCTATTGGCTGAGATCAGACAAATATGGTGAGGAAGGGGCATGGCCTTGGGAAGAGAGATGAAGGGGTGTGATTGGAGCAATTGGGCGACAACTGCAGTGGGGGTGAGCAGCCTTGAAAGCGGGGTTGAAATTTGGATCTGTTTTTGGAACGTGCACCGACAGGAGGATGGAGACAGTGAATGGGGAATTGTGGTGCTGGTATGGGGGGGGGTGTCGAATGAGTGATTGCTCAAATGGTTTTGGGATGTTGATATGCAGTAAGGGACGACCAAGGACTTGGCTTTTTGTGGGGATTAAAAACGTACAAGGCCTTGTTATAATTATGTGGTACAGGATTAAAATGTCTATCCATTCTGTAAGAGCTGTAATGTGAAGGTATGTTTGAAAATACATGAAGATCGTCAGATCGGGATTAGCACCCGAGATGAACAGCTATGGAAAAAAGTGTGAGGCTAAAACAATTCTTCAGACATGGCAAATGTGCTGTAAAACAGGCTGAGGAGGGATTAATTAGCAAGAGTGCGTAAAGAGGGAAAGAAAGAGGTGAAGAACGAAGGAGGACTGTTAAGGTAGAAATGAAGGCATTATTAGATTCTGAATGTCTCTGAGTTTGTAGATCTTTTGTCTTGTTGACAGATTGTTTGGAAGAATAGACAGTGATAGATGACTGGTGAAATAATTTTTGCTAAACCAGATTAAGGACAGGAAGAAACCATTATATTATTTTAGCCCATTTAATGGCCATTCATTAATTTTTATGATTTTTTTATTTTATTTTAGCAAACTTAATTTTTAACGCAACTTAATGCTTTCAGTTAACAACTGTAAAGCTGGTAATTAGGGTGAATATAATAAAACAATGGATGAAGTAGGGAAAACAAGTTTTGCATTTAATATTTATTCTTTTTTACTCTGTATTGTGTAGTGAAGATATTTGTTTAAAATTAAGACAATGATCATATTTTAACTAAGACATCGAAAGTGGCAAATGATCAGTTGGTCAGTCCAATCAAGTCTCAGGCTCGTTTGCTTTAGAGGGCGTCACTTGAAACTAAATCCATACCATTGGACTTACATGACAATCAATTTGAATAATTCTTAGTGTGTCATTTTATTGGCTACGTTTATTTAATAATGCATAAAGTTGTATCATTTTGGCCTTGGTCTTGCAGTCCTACATGCATTACACATACAGGCACACCAGAGCATTATAAGACTATATCAGACGGGTGAGTAAATAAAGCCTTTCCTTTCATTCACATCTCATGGTCATGCCTACATGAAGTGCCTACAGTTCGCGCTTCCCTTCATCTGCTACTCTGCCCTTTGACCTTTGGATCATAATGGCTTGTAGTTTCCAGGAGTAGGAACATTTAATTCCCCCATCAGATCTGATAATGTTTTCATCCATCAACACTTGTACAAGAGGGAACACTTTTTTTATTTTTTGCATGCCACAATCCATATTATTATTGTTAACTAAAATTAAAACAATAAAAAAAAATGTGTTAACTGAAATAAAATATAAATATTAGATACAAAACAGAAAAAGAACTGAATTATAACTTAGAATAAATGATAAATTAGAATTGTTGACTTGGCAACAAACTGAAATAAAATAGATTTGAGTACTATAACTACTAAAAAACTGAAATATGAAGTAAAGCTAAATAAAAATAAATATTTTTTTTAAAAAGCTAATAAAATTACAAAAGCAGAAAAAAATACTAAAAGCTAAACTTAAAATTAAAACTGAAAGTCTAAAAATAAAAGCCAATTCTTAATTAATTAATTAATTAATAGTATATAAATAATACTAAAATAACACTGCTCACTCACAAAAAAATGACTTCCTGTATATAGTTCAATATCAGTTTTGCTCTATTTAACAGTACTTTCATGCTGGTCTACATACAATGTTCAGTATATTCTCTGAAAGCCATTCTCTGCATCTCCTCACTGAAATATATGTGTGAAGACTTGTTCTCCTACCCTGACTATTGTTATTTAGGTGTTACCGTGGAACTAGACCCTGTTCTCTGTGTCGGTGGGGGGCTGGTGGTCCTTTTGCTTCTTGTGTAACTGTAGTTTGAGCAGCAGGTGTGTATTAATAGATCTGAGTGACGTGGATCAGCGGCAGCTCAACTCGATTGTTGGATTTTTTCTGTTTATTTCAGGGATGGAGGAAGGGAGGTGACCCTCACAGCTCTTGCATGGCTGAAGAAACGGAGAGCGTGAGGGGTACAGCAGATATTTAGACATTCAGGCTCTTAGTAAGTGTTAAGGTTACAGTTCACACACAGGCCTCAGACGTTCTGTGTTTTGCTTCATTTGACTTTCTCTCCTATTCTTTGTTTCTTTTCACTGTACTTGAAATCGTTTTCGCTACTGACTCTCTGTGACTTCTCAACTCTGACCCCTTGCCCCCTCTCTGACCTGGGCCCCATCAGGCGTGCTTGTGTGTCATGATTCTGACATCCCTGTCGTTGTACAGAATGTGTCCCGGCGCTGCTGGCATGTCTGTGCTCATGTTGCAGCACAGGTCGCATTGCAAAAATGCGCTAGATGATTTCTTACCATTCACACTGAATTTCTTATCCAAAATTACAAAATAATTTCTCGGTAAATATCTTTATTATGACATTATATGAATAATACAACCTGATTTATGACAGATATGAGTAATATGTTATTTTAAAGCACAAAATATTGATACTATGGTAAAGAAAGAAATGAATGCTTAAAAAAAATAAATGCATAAAGTTGATTAAAGTGACAGTAAATACATTAAAAAGATTTGTACATTTAAATAAATGCTGTTCTTTTGAACTAGCTTTTCATCCAAGTGTCCTGAAAAAAAGTATCACCGTTTCCACAATATATTAAGCAGCGCAATTGTTTTCAACATTAATTATAAGAATTGTTTCTTGAGCACCAAATCAGCATATTACAATGAAGACTGGACTGAAGACTAGTAATGGCTGTTTCGCTTTGCCATGACAGGGATAAAATATATTTTAAAATATGTTAAAGGGGTCCTATTATGCTTTTTCACTTTTTCAACTTTAGTTAGTCTGTAATGTTGCTGTTTGAGCATAAAAAAGATCTACTACAGAAGAGAGAGAGACTGATAACGGCTGTCAGAAGAGAGAACGATGTCAAATTACCGGCCCTCCCATAGACGCTGCATTAGAAACACTCTGGCATTGGCGTTAACTGTTTTTTTGTAATTTGATGCAAAGGTGATATAATACAAAGAATAGTGTTATAAATGTAGATGAAATGATGCAAAGGTGATATAATACAAAGAATAGTGTTATAAATGTAGGTGAAATTTTTTTTTAAATACAAATATGAAAAACTTTCGAGGATTTACGATGCTGATGACCGTTAAACCCGTCATCACAGTCTTGTGAAAAGAGTCCACTGAAGCTCGCAGGTTGCTATGGTAAGGGGCGTGACATTTCCCGACCAGGCGCCGAGTGCTGCCAATCACAACACACACTGGCCCAGCTAACCAATCACAGCACATTTCGTATTTCAGAAGGCGGGCCTTCATTTGATACAGGAACTATTCGAGCCGTTCATGCCAGACTGGGGAGAGAGGTGTTGTAATAATGTAAAATATGTGAAAAATAATGTGTTTTTCGAACAACCTAGTATGCGAGCCTGTTCTAGTACACCCCCAAAACAAAATCAAGACTGTAAAAGAGCATAATAGGACCCCTCTAAAAAACGTTATTTTATATTGTAATACAATTTCACAGTATAACAGTTATATAAATACATGTTATCAGCAAAGCCCGCTGAAGAAGGAGTTGCTAGGTATGAAAGAGAACGGTGCACAAAAGCACAAAGCACTTCAATTTTAAAAACAGGAAGCTTGAGAGAAATTGATTGAGTGATGATCTTGTGCTGGTGAAGTGACTGACGGGCGGCAGGATATCTGATGTTGTGCTGGAGAGAGATGGGACACATGGAACTGACAGGTTAGTGCCGGAAGATTTAAGAAATAACATTCCCTCATTTTATGAGTATATTTAACCTTCTGTAGCTCTGTCATTGTGTATGTGTCTTCCTTTTTAGGTCTGCACTTAGCTCAGGGAACATACAGAGACGCTGCTGATGACAGGAAGACGGATCAAGGGAAAGAGAAGAGGGACTCAGGAAAGCCAAGATGCTGGGATGAATTGAAGGTTAAATATATACAGTGGTGAATGAGAGGAGAGTTAGGGAAACAAATATGAAGAAAAAAAGTTTAGAAGTGACAGAGTAAAATGTGAATTTGAGGAATTAGAGAAAGTAATGAAGAGGAAAATAAGGGGGAACAACATCTTGGGAATATCTGACAGTGGTTGAGCTGTCAATTCTACTTAACTGCCTCTAACAAATACATTATTTTCAAACACATTAGTGATTACTGTGGCCTTTTTTTCCTTAATAATTTTTTATTCATAAATGAACATTAATGTATACAGAAGCCAGGGTGATTTCACACATCTTACACACGTGTACAGTATGTTGTGTACATGTGTGTGCGCCAAACAAGTGTGTGACAGGTGCTGGACAGGAATGGTGTTAAATTCTCAGCGCTGTCCCTATTCTTGGTTATTTGAATCTGTGGCTCCAAAGTATGGAGCCGTAATCCAGTCTTTAATGACTAACGCCTCTATATACGCACACAGATGGCACGTGAATACGTTCAAGATCATCTAGACGAACCCAGAAATGCACTTCTTACTTTTTATGTTATTTAATAATGATGTTTTGTACAATCACATTAGTTATTGCATGCTTTGCAAAATGTTCTGCCCCTAAAGCATAAAAAATGTTTTGTCAAGTAACTTAAATTTACCAAATGTGGCAACATCTAAATTAAAATGTGAAAAATATTATTTCATTATTTCTACGTTAGGTTACACAAGTTAAATG